AGTACTTTTAACGAGAATCAATCTTCTCATCCAACTCTGGCCAGGAGCAGTATTTGTACTCCTATACTGCATCTGAGGAATACAGTAGCACCTCCTTTCTGTCTTGGATTTATAACTCAATAATATAGAGATACTACACACACAAACAAGCAAAAACACAACTTCCAGACTCAATTCAAACCGACACTGGTCTTTTTTCAACAAAACACTTCCCTGGTTTCACTCCTCCCTGCAGTCTCTGTAGGATCAGTAGATTATTCAATTCATTATTAAACCGTCCAAACTTTCCTCAGTAAATTCACCCCAACATGTTATGTCTTGCTGCATATTCTATCACACTGCAACAGTTTGCACAGCTAACATGTCGTGCTAACATTTCCAAAACACAGACATTGTACACTTTGGATTTTGGATGAAACAAACAATACTTAACGAGAATCAATCTTCTCATCTACATCTGGTCAGGAGTAGTATTTGTAATGCTTGCAGAAATACAGAAGCACCTCCTTCTTTTTTTAGATTTAGCACGCACACGCGCACGCGCACACACACACACACACACACACACACACACACACACACACACACACACACACACACACACACACACACACACACACACACACACACACACACACACACACACACACACACACACACACACACACACACACACACACACACACACACACACACACACACACCACACACACACACACACACACACACACACACACACACACACACACACACACACACACACACACACACACACACACACACACACACACACACACACACACACAATTCAAACTGACACTGGTCTTTTTTCTACAAAACACTTCTCAGTTTTTGCCCCATCCTTCATACAAACATGCACTAATTGTTCCTCACTGCAGAATGTGTGTGTGCTGAATCATCAGTACATTATTCAACAAACTCAAAACCTCCCTCCAAAAATTCACCAATGAGTTTGCCAACGTCTATCAAGTCTGTATGAAAGCGTTGAAGGCAGGATATCTCTGCAGCTCAACAATACTTCAAATATATATTAGATATTTTCACATATTTTTGCCGAAGTCTTTACGTCGGGATAAAGGTTTATTTGATGTTAGTGCCATAAAAACCATGTTTGCTTGTATGCTACGTTTTTCCACGCAAAAAATAACTATGATCACTTTCAGTAGGTTTTCTGTGGTCAATTTAGCAAAATCATTCATCACTGTTGCCTTTTTTAATTCAGAAATTAGGTTTGATTTTGTTTACCTCACAGCAGCTTCAGTACACAATACGCTTATAATTATTCAGACAAGAGAAAACTGATGAACCGTTTAATCTTTAAGGAGGAGAAGCTGCCGGCTAAATTAGCTGTGACTGAGTCTTTAGAGACAATTAGATGAACCGTAGTGTTTTTAGAACAAGAAGAAGAAAACACTTTACTGTATACACAGTGGTGGAGGTTATAGTGTAAGGACTTGCAATGATGTGTGAAACTTAAGTGGAACGCTCATTAAAATCCTTGGGTGGGCTTAGCAAAAATAAAAGTATAAAATATATCCGTTAACTTCCCTGGAAATGTTGGTGTTTTTTGGTTATTCTGTCGTTTCCCCCCAATATACAACATCTTTACTGGCTAACCAATAAGATATGCTTTAGTGACATGGCAAGATTTTGTTATATATTAAGTTACACACACATGTAAGAAGGGATCAAAATATCAAATTATACCTCCTCCTAAAACTTAGAAATAACACCAATGTGCAATAATGTAAAAATCGGCTCAATGCAACAACACTTATGTACAATATGTTCTGCTAATAATATTATTACTACTGTCTGTTACTTCTTAGGTAGTCCATACCAACAAGAATCTGTATGTTATTATGTAAATATATGATTTAATTGTATTACTGAAATCTACCCGCTACAGATTTCATTCTACAATGTTAAACTTATTTTAAATATACTGACTTATTTATCATTATTCCACTCCAAGTAGGGAATGAGTCCTTACCCCAAGTGAAGGAGTTCAAGTATCTCGGGGTCTTGTTCTCGAGTGAGGGAACAATGGAGCGTGAGATGGGCCGGAGCATCGGAGCAGCGGGAGCGGTACTGCAGTCGCTTTACCGCACCGTTGTGACGAAAAGAGAGCTGAGCCAGAAGACAAAGCTCTCTGTCTACCGGGCCATTTCCGTTCCTACTCTCACCTATGGTCATGAAGGATGGGTCATGACCGAAAGAACGAGATCGCGGATACAAGCGGGCGAGATGGGTTTTCTCCGCAGGGTGGCTGGCACCTAGTAAGGATGCCACCTGGGCGCCTCCCTAGGGAGGTGTTCCAGGCACGTCCAGCTGGAAAGAGACCAAGGGGTAGACCTAGGACCAGGTGGAGGGATTATATCTCTTGGCTGGCCTGGGAGCGCCTTGGGACCCCCCAGTCAGAGCTGGTTGATGTGGCCAGGGAAAGGAACGTTTGGGGCTCTCTGCTGGAACTGATACCCCCGCGACCCGACCACGGATAAGCGGGAGAAGATGGATGGATGGATGGATGACTTATTTATTTCCCCTGAATGTGTACTCCTGTACATTTTGTGTTTTATTTTATTCTAAATACTATGTGCATGCCTTTTTATCTAATAGTATGTTATTGTTATTTGTTGTCTCCGTCTATACTGCTGTAACAATGTAAATGTCCCGTCTTTGGGACAAATTAAGGAACTCTGATTCTGAACATATGTCTTTCAGACCGACTTTCTCTCGGCAGAAGAACTTTTTTTAACGTGAATTTATTCAACTTTTTCATTTTAGTAGATGAATAGTTCACAGATTCCTCAGGATTTCAAAGGACTCTTTTGTAAGCGGCCTCTGAGAGGGAAGAAGAGAAGGAAACAGAAACACGTCTGCAAACACAAGGACATTTCAGCCCTGCAAAATGTCAGAACGCCACGATGAGCCGGGTTGGACTCACACCTTATCTTTGATATTTACCTCAACCTAAACACTCATTGGGTTTCTAATAAGGGATCTTAAATAAAGTAAGGAATATAGACGCATATCAGGCTGCTATAATGAGCACAAAAACTGTGAAACAAAAATTGACATTGCATTTTATGTTGATCTTTAAATTGTGTTATGTGACATTTCTTTACTTTTCATTATCTGGTATAGTATAATTATTTTAACCCATATACATGACTTTGTTTAAAGGGGCCCTAATATGCTTTTTGGGGTCTTCCTTTCACTGAAACGATGACTTTAATTAAATGTATTACGCCAACAGATTTCACATAACTGTATTAGGTTAGTTGAAAGCAATCGTATAAAACGTAATAACGTAATATTATTGCTTTCAACTAACCTAATACAGTTACGTGAGATCTGTTGACATGATACATTTAATTTAAGTCAACGTTTCAGTATATATTTTGTTATTTTGCCATAAAACTTGAGGTTGTTGACCAAAAACGATGTATTTTGATAACGGAGGGCGATTTGACTGACCTCTACATATTAATATTTCGTAAGTTGAATGAAAAAAAGGACACACACAGAAAACCAATGCATGCACACAGTAACAGGGCGTCTATGCATGATGAGAAGCATCAGATCTGCAGTGTTTTCATTAAACTGGCCTCCATGAAGCCTACAGCGTCTGAACATCCACTCTCCGTCCTCCACAAAGAGCTCATTACGAGCATTCAGGATGCGAGTGCTGTGTTTGTAAACCCTTGATGCTAAACCTCTAATATAGTGTTTCAGAAAGTGGTTGCAAAATTAAAATGGCATTAATTTGTGTCACAGCATGAGGGACTCCTTTGATATTCTGTAATTTAAACAGATTCACATGAACACACAGTTTAATTCAGCTCTGACGCGGCTCCTGGATAGAGCACTTATATATATATAACGGTATCTATTTAACATATTTGATATATTTCGCCATCAGCAGCTAAAAAGCATTTGTATCTTAACAATACTTATTAATACACCACTTCATATTTTATAATACACATTTAAATATGTGTTATTGTTGTGATATATTGTACATTGTGCACATTGTTACTTTAAATTGCTATATTTAGAAAAAAATGTTAGCCAATTCATTTTATTTTGTCTTTTTATGGCAGATTTTTATTTACTTTTTAGGTTTATATAATATTATTAATTAAATAGCTGAATGGAGTAACCCTAACCGTCTATTCTATGTTATTGTAACTTTTAATTTGACATTTTTACTTAACTTCCTATGTTTATATAATTATTTCTAATTTATCTTTATTGCACAGTTTTTAATTTCACTTTTCTACATTTATATACATATTTTGTATTAATTTAAATAATGAAATTACATTAAATTGTTAAAATAATTATCTTTTGTTGTTCATACTTCATTTTTATAAATAAAGTAAATATCACAAAAATATTTTTCAGTTTGACTTTTTATGTTTATTTAATGCTTTTTCGGTCCAGATACATATTTCTAAAATGTAAAAAGGGTTTAGCATTATTATCTCTTATTGCCCATTTTTTTTGTATCAATCGTTCATTAGTTTAATCTAAAATGGAGGAACTGTCACAACTTTTTATGTTTAATTTCCCCTTTTTTCCTATTTTTTGTTTCTTTCGTATCGCTGATTCATATAATTAACTTCTAATGTAAGTATGAATATGTTTTGTTTATTCTAAAGTGAAGCAACTGTTAAAAAACTCAGTATTTTTTATACATATGTTAATGTTGTTGTTAAGATATTGTTTGGTTCTAACAGCCTCGCTACCCTGCTGCTCTTCTGTAATAAGAGAATCATGCATGACAATATTTAATGAAATCTGAATAAATGTCCTTTTTCTTTCCTAACAGTAAACCTGACACTGGTCCATCCACATGGCGAACAGATTTCAACACACACTGAACACACAGATGGTGTGCATGGAGGATATTGTTGTTCCAAACTCTACAGACATCCTCCAACTTCTTTTACAAATTATTTAGAGCTGCTCACCCAGCAGGCAAGTGCTTCATAACTGCTGCCGTTTCCCCCAGCGAGGTCCGCCCCCGCCCAGCTGCCACGCTGGGGAAACAAAATCAGATGCACCTAAAGTCATTTCACCTCTCCGGAGTGTGTTTGATGCAGCCAAAAGCCCACAAAGGTCCACAAAAGTCCACATCTTCCTCTCACTCACATCACTCCACTCACACAACACAAAAGTACACACATCCTTTACTCAAGTAGAAGTACAGATACTCGTGTTTAAAAATACTCTGGTAAAAGTAGAAGTACTGACTAAACTTCTTGACCCAAGTAAAAGTAAAGAAGTATGGGCTTTGAAATGTCCTTAAGTAAAAAGTACCCATAACTAGCAGCTGTTTTAAAGAGTACCTGACCTCCCTTTATATTAATAGAACAATAATGTCATTGTTAGCTAATGAATGTTTCCATGCTGAACAACGGCAACATGACAACGTTTTCATTGGTCCCTCTTCTTTAGAGAAGACCAGGAAATGATGGATACACGGATCGTGTTCAAATCAATAGGCACGCAATGACTCTAAATAATAATGATCACGCCACCAAACACACATTCAAACTAAAGGAACCAGCCTGTTTGGAAAATGTGAGAAGTAGAAAGTTCAGGTATTTGTGTTCAACATGTAAGAAGTAGAAAGTACAGGTATTTGTGTTCAACATGTAAGAAGTAGAAAGTACAGGTATTTGTGTTCAACATGTAAGAAGTAGAAAGTACAGGTATTTGTGTTCAAAATGTAAGAAGTAGAAAGTACAGGTGTTTGTGTTCAACATGTAAGAAGTAGAAAGTTCAGGTATTTGTGTTCAACATGTAAGAAGTAGAAAGTACAGGTGTTTGTGTTCAACATGTAAGAAGTAGAAAGTACAGGTACTTGTGTTCAACATGTAAGAAGTAGAAAGTACAGGTATTTGTGTTCAAAATGTAAGAAGTAGAAAGTACAGGTGTTTGTGTTCAACATGTAAGAAGTAGAAAGTACAGGTATTTGTGTTCAACATGTAAGAAGTAGAAAGTACAGGTATTTGTGTTCAACATGTAAGAAGTAGAAAGTACAGGTATTTGTGTTCAAAATGTAAGAAGTCAAAGTAAAAATTCGTCAGAAAAATAAGTAGTGGAGTAAAGCACTGATACTAGAAAAATGTACTTAAGTACAGTAACGAAGTATTGGTACTCCACTACTTCCCACCTCTGGCAATATATATATATATATATATATATATGTCGTTAATAACTGTGCGACATATACCTGGCTGCATCTTCAGAACTGTTAAAGGATGTGTATTTTGTAAATTGTGTAATCTTATTTTTTTAATGCATGCTACTTAGTTAACATTAAGCTGTCTTTGTCTCTTTTCTGCTGTAACCCATGTAATTAATATATATATATATATATATATATATATATATATATAATGTACATTTCCCCTCAGTGGGACGAATTAAGGAACTCTGACTCTGAACATTTGTCTCTAAGACCTACTTTCTCTCCGCAGAAACACTTTAACAGGAATTTCTTCAACTTTTTCATTTTAGATCAATAGTTCCTAGACTCCTCATAATTTGAAAAGAATATCAAGGTATTCTGATTCTGATTCTCACTCACTCAGAAACATGCTAAACTCCTCAGCTGCAGAGTTTCTAATCATGTAGCAGAGAGGACATGAAGGTGAAACTATGCAAACAAGAGACTAAGCGTCAGACTGGAGGCTCATCTGGATCATCTCCTCGACTAAACCCCCCCTAACATCCTCAAAGTGTGTGTGAGGGCTGCACTGGGGAGGGAGAGTGCAGGTACATCTCCGTGGAAAAGAACAGGAAGTGTAACTCAACACTAGGGCTGCACGATTGTGGAAAAAGCAACTAATGGAGATCATTTTGAATGATTTTGTGATATGATTTGCGATACACAAGGGAATTATCACAGCAAAAAAATATATATAAATATGTATATAAATGATTATGGTAGGATTTGTATTTTTTTAAAGATCATTTTTAGGCCAGATTGCCTTTTTTTGAGATGCAGAGTATGCGGCGGACCCATGGTGGGATCTTTTGAGAGGATCGGTACCAAACAAGGTTTTCTTTATTAAGTCTGTAGAATAACAACTTCCCTGTAGTTCCACGGTAGATTCATGAATCTTTAAAATATTGCTTTTGCCGCGATGTTGGATGGTCACTCGTCCATATTGCCTTATCCATAATATTCCAATTCATATAGCAGCCCTACTAACCTCTGCTAGCAAATCATTCAAAAATAACAAACAAAAAAATGAATGAAGAACCAAACAAAAGAAGTAAGAAATGATATACATACTAAAATAGCAAACATGTAAATGTCTGTTAGGATGTTCTTATGATACTGAGCTGTTACAAATTAACTTGTTATGCAAATGCTAATGCTAAATGTACCTTATGTCAACATGTGTAAAGGAAGAGGCATAATGAAGTACTTGAACGGACCGTTTTTAAGGCAATGCAACTTTGGAAAACATAATCAAACAATGGTAAAATAGTACTTTTCTTTAAATGTCATCACCCTGTCACTCAGAACTCTGAAAAGCCTGCATTATAAATAACCGTCGTAGGGGATTACTTTAGTCGTTGTTATTGTTAGTTTGTGTTCTTTGTAATAATTTTTTTGTAGATTAAATCAGTACAGACCATTGTTTCATTTGCGTGAATATATTTTGCTTTCCACTTCTAAATGACAAACATTACTTATGCATTGTCTAAACGCAATAAAGAGATTCTTGATCAGAAATAACCGTCATGAATAAGTGTATGTAAAAAAAAGAACAAGGGCAAAATTGTACTTTTCTTTACATTTCATCACTCTGAACTTTGAAAAGCCTGCAGTATATAAATAACCGTGATGAATGAGTGAATCTTACCCTGTAGTAGTCGCTGCTGTAGATGTCCCGGGACATGCCGAAGTCTCCGATCTTCACCAGCAGGCCGTTGCCCACCAGGCAGTTGCGTGTTGCCAGGTCTCTGTGCACAAAGTGCTGCGACCCCAGGTAAACCATGCCCGAGGCGATCTGCGTGGCGATGTGCAGCATCTGAGACAGACCCAGCTCCCCGTTGGACTGCAGCGGCTGGCCGTCCACCAGGATCATGGCGTCCGGACCGTGGGCTCTGAGGAACAAACAAGAACACTGATTGATTGGAGGAAGTGAGACTGAGGAGATCTGTAGGGTTATATTTTCAGGAGACGCTAGGAGTATTGATCACAGAGAGTGCATTCAGTGACATAGTAAGAGGAATACGGTTTTAAACTACATTACATTTCAGAGTAGAGACACTACATACTGATATACACCTGAACATCAACAGGAGAGGACTCTTTAAAGTAGAGACACTACATACTGATATACACCTGAACATCAGCAGGAGAGGACTCTTTAAAGTAGAGACACTACATACTGATATACACCTGAACATCAGCAGGAGAGGACTCTTTAAAGTAGAGACACTACATACTGATATACACCTGAACATCAGCAGGAGAGGACTCTTTAAAGTAGAGACACTACATACTGATATACACCTGAACATCAGCAGGAGAGGACTCTTTAAAGTAGAGACACTACATACTGATATATACCTGAACATCAGCAGGAGAGGACTCTTTAAAGTAGAGACACTACATACTGATATACACCTGAACATCAGCAGGAGAGGACTCTCTAAAGTAGAGACACTACATACTGATATGAACCTGAAAAGTCAGCTAAATGCAATGTAATGTAATGTAATACCATAGGGCCTCTTCATGATGTATTGTATCACTTGTGAATTAAATGGTCCATTTCTAAACTGATATTTGTGTTATTACCTTCTCTGAAAGTTATATAATTGCAGTTTTAACTACTGAATGTGTGAACCTTTTCAGCAGTTAGACTGTGACCTCTCAGACCCTTTGTTAAATCACCCAAAGCTTATTTCAGAGTGCTAATAAACCCTTATTCTGGAACCTTTTTGTAGCTATGGAGCGTAAGCATCACAAATACAACCTGCAAGCACTTAGGCGGTTTTAATTGCACTGTTTTAATTTATTTTGGGGCCTGTGTGGTACATTATATATTCCTTTACCGAGGAACTTTAATCCACATATTTGCCAGAAGAAGTTGACTCTGGGTCTAAAACTCTCCTCTGTGACGATGGAGAGAAACTCATTTCCTTTGAGAAGCTCCTGCTGTTCTCACCTTCTCGTCACTTCTCGATTACAGACGAGGAGCAGTGCAGGGAAAACCTCTCTCAGGCTGTCTCTCTGTTATCTGCTGCGACTCACTACTCTTGGCTTTTAGCATGAGTGTGATTCAGCTCGGAAAGTAAAAGATTACATGTACGGTATTATGTAATCAGGATACAAGAAAAAGGTAAGTGTATTCCCTTAAAGTAGTAAAAGGATCAGATGCTCTCTCTTCTCTGTAAACTGTGCTGTTCTGTAGGATAATACTTTAAGTGTGAATCTATACGCCTACTGCCTGAATCTGCTTTATGGTTTTCACTTTCTTTGCTTCATTTGTTCTGTTTTTAATTCAGCAGGTGAACCTATATGTTCATAAAATAGTGTGTGTGAGCTTAACTGTGTGTGAGCATTTTCTGTCAGCTCAGATTTGATTTCTGCTTCTTTAAACTGTGGTATGTGCTCATGTGTTTCAGTGTTAGGCTACTGTCTGAATATGCTTAATAAATAGCAGGTAGTCCTATAAATAAAATTAGCCTTAATATCTTTATTTTCTAAGGTGACATTGTTCTGTTGTCTTACATAATACACTTCAGTTAAAAACGTGGTGTTGATATTTTTTTCTCTTGTATTTATTTACATTGCATTTCATATTGCGGTAATCCTACATTACTTTGATATTTTTAGATTAAGTTGCCGGTTACATTTTCTTACAGGTAACTAGTTATTGTAATGGACTACATTTTTTAAGTAACCCTCCCAACCCTCTTCCTTAGTTTGCATATTTGTGTCACTACACCTTTTTAGCTAAACCAAGTAGTGGCTCTGCAGGTCATCCTCCGATTATCTGAATGTTACGCCGGACACATCAGATCCTCTTTTCCATTCCTACTGATTCCACATATCATTTGTTAAATGTGTCCAACAAGACCCATAGACCGAAAATCAGCTGCGTCTTGCACCTTGCATGAAAGAATTTCATCATTCGCGACATTGCCTTTCATTTCAGGAATGATTTCCCAACAGAAAGTCTTCACGCACTCATGAATCCACACACACACACACACACACACACACACACACACACACACACACACACACACACACACACACACACACACACACACACACACACACACACACACACACACACACACACACACACACACACACACACACACACACACACACACACACACACACACACACACACACACACACACACACACACACACACACACACACACACACGCTGGAGCTCAATCGTAACACATCATCTTTTCAACTATTGCTCAAACTTCAAAAACAAGATAGCCCACACACACACATTCACACACAGCTGTCAGCGCTCTTGATAAAACACACTTCTCTCTCAGACTCCTCCTGTGAACACCGGCTTCACTTCCTGGTACCAAAGCGCTCGCTGTTCAGCCGTCGTGTCGCTTTTGTTGGAGCTTATCAGAGGTCACGTCCCTCGGTAGAGTCTGGCATTACGGAACAAAAGCACTCCTGTTTGCTAACCCACAAAGCTGTGAAGATGGGTGGATATCAACGGCTGCAGGAATTTGACAAAACCTTTTCTTTGACCCTTATTGAAGTTCTTATCAAAGTTCTTTAACTAAAGAAATGTAGTACTCTTCCTGTTTCGTAAGTGGCTATGACCTAGTGTTTATATCACATTTTGACCAGTACCCTGAGTGAAAAGGCTTCGAGCTAAGGTAACACATACTGCACACACACACACACACACACACACACACACACACACACACACACACACACACACACACACACACACACACACACACACACACACACACACACACACACACACACACACACACACACACACACACACACACACACACACACACACACACACACACACACACACACACACACACACACACACACACACTGCATCATGTTTCCACCTTCTTTACTTCTTCCTGTCTGTTCATATGATTCATCTTCCAATCTGCTCAGCCAGCAGTAGCTCCGTACATTAAGGTTAACCAGACTTAACCTTCGGTGAGAACTGACCTGAGGAATTTGTTGAGGTCTCCATGCTTCATGTACTCGAACACCATGATGAGAGGGTCTCCGTCGACACACACTCCGTAGAATTTAACGATGTGGTCGTGCTGCAGGTTGGTCAGCAGCTCCGCCTCCCTCTGGAAGTCCTTTCTCGCCGACAGATTGGGATCCTTCAATGTCTGAAAGGACGAATAGAAAAGTCAGCGAAGCACATTCAAAAAGGAAAAACATAACAATGGCTGGTTGGGACAAGTTTGGAGAAACCATTGTATCCATTACAGCCTTCATTGACTTACAATCATTTGTCTGACGATTAATTCCAGCAATTGTTCATAGAAGCCAGGTATAAAACAATATATAATTCCTGATCAGTTAAATCATAATAAGATTTCCGGTATGTTGGTTTGTTAATTCTTGAAGCAATCACTTTGGGGCTATTTTAGGGCAACTTCCTGACAAAATGTGAAATGTTTGACTGCACAAATTGCCAATGGACACTTGAACGCACCATAACTTTTCAAATCTGTTCCAAAAAGTACCAACACTTTGAGAGCATATAAAAACAAAGTCATTGTTTCCGTCTTGTTCTTCGTCACATCCGTTGTCTGGCCCCTACATTTTGCTGCAATGTCAGCTGCACTCCATCCTTCTTTCTCCAGCTTTATCTACAATCCAATTAAACCTCCTCTGTTTTAATCATCCATTCAGTTCACCCAATTTGTCCTTGAATTTATGGCCATGCTAGAGGAGTAGCTCTAGTCTTCACATGTCTGTAGTTTGCTTAATCCACAACTTTACAGACTTACATTTCTCCACAAATGTTGAATTTTCTTACAAATGATGTACATTCGTGTTTCTGAGAAGATGAATCCTGCTAACTTGTTGACTAATAAAGTGTATTCTAGTACTAGTGCCATGTAGTTTTATGGTACACAAATGCTTATCTTTTAATTCACTACAGATAATCAAAGACCCTTGGAAGTCCAACAGAAACTTGTGATCCCCTGATTTTTCATCTACTGCATCAGAAGGTCAAAACTTCTCCAATGTTTTATTTATGAATAATTATCGGTATAACTCATGACCTTCCAATCCACTTTAACATGCTACAATTTACCTCATTGAAACCAGCATGACAGTGGCATCAAGAGCACGCTAACAGAGCAACTATGGGTCTAAAAAGTTAAAGAATTATGTTCTAGTTCTTTTCATAAGACAACAGCAGTGTTAAGGGAATTCACCTAAACGTACCATTTCAATGGATAGAGGATTTCAGTTTTTCTACGGACATCTTAACAAAGAGAATGAGTACAGTGATACATTCAGTGCTGTACAATTCAAGAAAGGATTCCTGTCCAACGCACCTTTTAAAAAGAATCCAGCATGGCTAGACTCCTAGGGTGTGTTTAAAAAGTCAAACAAATTATGTTCTAGGTCTTTTCCTTAGAACTTTTTACTTGAGAGATATGTAGGAGTATGCAAAATTACGTTGGAAAAGACAACAGCAGTAAGAAGAGAATTCGCCTAAACTTACTGAATGCAATAGTGGAAGATTTATGTTTTTCTAAGGAACATTTTTAACAAAGAAAATGAGTACACCAATAAGTTCAATGTTGTACAATTCAAGAAAGGATCGTTGTCCATCGCACTATAACACCTTTTAAAAAGGATCCTTAATTAAATCTGTAAAAAATAAACTTGGATTTGATTGCCAGTTGAATGGTGAGTCGCTTTAAATGTTGATGAATGTCGGGCATAATGATCTCTTTTCCTTTCATACAGGCGGGTACAGTGTATACTATACTGAAAGAGATAATAAAGGAAGCATTGAAGCCCTTTTACGTAGCATTTAGCAAACTCCCCCAGCTCTTATCATGGCTGCCACTTAGATAGCATGTTGGAGAAAAAAGGCTATTCATCTGCAGTCATAGTCTTGGAACAAATCACTATCTCCCTAACAATTTTTGTATTCCCAATCTTCTGTTGCCTTTTGTTACTGCATACAGCTTAATGTTGTGAATGCCCCTTTGTCCTTTATCCTCAACAGATAGACTCCATGGGAACAGGAAAGGAAAGATAGTTGGGTTTGATTATCGGGTTCACCTGTTAGTCCAAGGTAAACACGGAATTGAGTCCAAACCAAATTCAGTTACTTTCCTTTTATATTGATCAATAAAGCCTTGAAACTCTGCTCTGATTGAAGAGTGTCGTCTTTGTTGTTTAGCAATACGACATACAGTACGTGGCTCTGCATTATATCCACCTAATAATCCAGCGTATTGCTTTTAGAGAGGAGGCTGGAACAACTTTACACAACAGAATTGATCTGATTGGTGGACGGATCGAGAAAGGACTGCCTTGAACTCCTCTGAAGTGGAGTGCTCATAACAAATCAAATCTTGATGGGATGTCAGTTGAAGGTGACAGTATCAGAAAAGAAGGAACAATCAAATAACATGGCTTTTTTTGTTGGAGGAAAAAAAAGACTCTTGACACTTCATCCGCTACAAGAATACACAGCGATCTGCCTCTCTTGGTCTCCTGCAGTTCTGCTTTCTCCTCTGCTGACATTATTACAGATGCACAGACCTTGGGATGGAAATGCATTATCTCATATGTGCTGGAGAAGTGGTGGAGATGTACGGCACAGTAGGTAAAATGGCCATACAAATCATATGACCAAATCAAACCGCACTCTTAACACTAGAACCGCCAATCGGGTCAATTTGACCCAGAGCTGTTTTTTATTGTGTGTAACTTTTTTTCAATAAAATATTAAAGTCTTCCAGTCCGTGACTTTTCCTGAAACTGTGTTATGTAGCACCCTATGTTGTTAAAAATGGTCAATATGAAGTCAGATTGAAGAAATCGCCCAAAAAATTGCCATTTATACCTATTTCCGCCAAGCGGGTCATATTGACCCCACCCCTTTTCATATAAACATGACGTGTTGCTATAGCAACGCCTTTTGTCTACTGCGGTTCCTCCTTATAGATTGAGAGATAGATTGAGAGAGAGAGAGAGAGAGAGAGATAGATGGATAGATATATTGATAGATAGTTATAGATAGAGAGAGAGAGAGAGAGAGAGAGAGAGAGAGATAGAGATAGAGACAGTCTGTAGTGAAGGAGTGTGCTCCCGCTCACGGGAGACTGCTCGCACTGCGCTCCGCAGCAAACAGCTGTGGGGCGAGTTGAAAGTACGTTATGCTGGCCGCGGTGTCTAAATAATGCTTCCGGCCCAGCGGGCCATTTATAATGTCGAGCCCTGAGAGTCCACAGATTATATTGGTATACGTTTCATCCCTGTGCGATCAAAACTCTCTGTTCAATAAAAGAACATTTTACCTTGAAAATCAATGCATTCTAATAGCGGGTCAATTTGACCCAGGTGGCGGTTTTAGGTATAAAAAATCTCTGGCGGTTCTAGTGTTAAGGAAATATTTCTTGTCTGGGCATCCCTCCAAAACAATACCTCCAAGTGCTCGACTATGATAAATTGAGGCAAAGCACTGCCGTGAATGTTCCTTTTGTTGACCTTTAAGGGAATTCAGAGGGCTTCTTTCTGCTTCATCGCAGACAGGAACATGTTCTGATGAAAATGCACATGTTTTAAAAATAAACAGGATATTGTAGAGGGGGCTTGTTAATCCTTGAATACTGAGACAAGCACTAGATAGGCAAAGACCATCTTCTTCTTAAAGGCATCCTATATTCTGCTTTTTGGGGATTTCACTTTCCTGTTGTGTGTTGTATTGATTTGTGTGCATGTAAATGGTCTGCAAAGGCTTAAATTCCCCACCCCCCCTGCCTGAAACGCCCCCATTGGAGTCCTTTGTTTACTTTTTGAACATAGTGACATCACCATATAACACTCGCGCTTCTATTGGCTAGCGCTCCAACAAATTGTAAGTGATAAGGCTAAGGGACTTCTCGAAGCGGTTGACCAATCACAAGAGAGCCGGCCAGCTAACCAATCAGAGCAGACTGGGCTCTGGTTTCAGACAGAGGGTGAACAAAACAAACTATTCAACTATTCTTTTAAAAATGAGACGCTTTGCATTGTGGGATTGTTGCCAGAAAGATGTGTAAATGACATGAACAATACTTATTTTGTTCCACGATGCAATGCTCCATACTGTGTCTAAGGCCTGTTTTCAGTCTTCATACGTTGGGTTCATACAGAGGGGAGTAGTGATATTTTTCTGTCCAATAGAAAGTGAGTAAGTGTGTTATCGGGAAATGTCAAACAACTCCCTTTCTTCCTGGTGTTCATAACCCGAGCGCTCTGAGAAGACGTACCTTGACAGCCACCAGCATCTTGTCCTTGGTGGGGCAGAGGTTGTAACACTCTGCCAGGAAGACTTTCCCGAATGCTCCCTCACCCAACTCCCTCTTCAGGATGATGTCTCTGCGCTTTATATGCTGGACCACTAAACCGCAGACAGGGAGAGAAGAGGGGAGGGGGAGAAGAAGAGCATTTTATAAAAACCTTTCCTCAGATACTAAACACAAGAACAGAACAACAGACAGAAAAATAATGCTATATTTGAAAAGATCATGAATATAATTGTCTGTAAAGCTTGAGAATGACCAAATTCAATAACAAAAAACCAAGCAGGAATATGGTGCATTACCTTTGTACTATTTTAAATTCAAGATCTGAAGTTTCTAAAGATACAGTACAGTATATGTTGTGCAAAATTAAATATGTACACATTTTGATTTACGCTAATGATGAATCCATAGAAAAAGATTATTCATATTTGAATATCTTTATTAATATGAGTTTGACTCAGCTTCAGTAAAGAGCAGCAAAAAAGCAAAAATGTCAATCTATCAATAAGAAGTAAGAACATTTTTTATTTAACTTTGAAAACATTTAGAATATTGGGAAAATTAGAGTTCAAGTGGTTTTTAATCTCCAAATCACAGATAAAGTGTGGGATGACACCTGCAGAGCTGCAAGTCTCTGATATGGATTACTCTGGTTTACTGTCAGCATTGAAACAACACAGGGACATTTTCTAATGAGAACACAATCGTTAACATTTCTACTTTTGAGAAATATGTGAGGAAAATAAGAACCGAGTATGATGAGAAAAGAAATGTGCTACTAGAAAAGGATCATTTTAGAACTTTGAGTGATTCCTTTTAAGAAATAAGCGTAGCATTTACTTGGAGTGCTGCAAATACAAAACTCAGCAAGAAGCTCAAAACACAACGGAAACCAGGGGACACTAACAAGTGACGCACACAGCTGGGAGACCAGGGGACACTAATGAGTGACTTTTTAGTGTCCCCTGGTCTCCAGCTGTGTGCGTCACTCTGTTTCCTCAAGTTGGTGAAGCTGTTTCTCCATTTCATGTGTAACTGTATTTTCATATTTGCCTCATTGTTTTGAAAGTGCAAAGAGGTTTTCTCCTAATGGAAATGTTTTCGGTCGTTGTAACACGTTTGCACCGCAGTGTTCACAGCATTGAAGCTGAGATTTCTATTGATTAGTCGAACAACATGTTGAAAATGGACCACATTTATAAAAGAAAGAATGAATGAATGAAAAATGTATTACAGACTCAGGGTCCAGATAAAAGACAAGGCATTACATATAATAAATTACATACACAGCAATTCATAGTTTAAGAATCATTTAAATCAGTGTCCTACAAAGAGACAACTATACCAATGTCTCCACAGCTGTGATTGGTAGCGTGTAGTACTAAACCTTATGTTTGATAAGGCCACGAGGATTTCATTATCAGAGTCATTAAGCCGGCAAATACATTTATACAGGAGATTTCTTAAAACAGCTTGTAGAGGATTGACTCCTGCAGCCACAAACATTTCACTTGCACTAGACCATCGAGGTCTCTTCAGCAATATTCTCATGGCATCATTATAAGTAACTTGAAGTTTCCGTAAACTTGCTTTTCTGTAGTTTGACCACAAATGTGCAGAATAGAGTGGTGTACAATATGCTCTGAACAAAGACATCTTCGCTCCATCTGTACTTGCACGAAACTTACGTAGGAGAATGTTTGCTTGTGCATACATCATGCGGCATTGCCTATAAATATCTTCATCATCTGTCATTTGTTCTGTAATAAAGTGTCCAAGATATTTTAACTTATTACAGACACTAAGATTAATATCAGACAATTTTAAATCAGGACATTTTAGACATTTATCCTCTTTGGTTCTAAAGATCATGACAGCACTCTTACTGGCGTTGTATTTGATGTCATGTTCCACCAGACATGAAGACCAGCGCTAGATGGACTCAGCACAACAAGATCATCTGCATACATAATATGGTTCAGAGTACTACCAATCATGCATCCAGTATTACAGGCTTTCAGTCGCTTGGACAGATCATCAATATACAGATTAAAAAGAACTGGGGACATAATTCCACCTTGTCTGACACCATTGCTAACCCCAAATGGAGCTGAGACCCTATTGCCCCATTTTACTTGCATAGTTTGGTGGCCATACCAGTAGACCAGAATTCTCACAATGTATTTGGACCCCTCTTTGATTCAGTTTAACAAACAACTTCCTATTCCTAAAGAGATACTGTGAGTGCAGTTATCTGTATTACATGATGCTATGTTGTGTTTGTACCATGAATGTACACGTGTCTGTTTGCAGCGTGTTATCTAGCATAGGGTCATGTAATTGTAACATGTGATTATATAAAGAAGGTACAGTGTTGCGTAAACTGAAGACTGAAGTGTATAAAACTTGTGTGATTCTCTTTAACTTTAGACACATATACTCTTGGCGGTCTCTTATACTGTTGTACAACAATATCATACTTTTTTAGATCAACAGTGTGTCTGTGTTTCTATTTTGTTATATCTTGTTACAACTTGAGTGTCTAAGGTCTCGGATCCACAGTGAGTGAAAAATACATAAACAGAGGAAGAAAGATAAATACTAAGACAGAAAGCAGGTGTAGGTGTTGAATATCAGGGGTAAGAGTTTGACCCGCGAGGCTCAGTCTGAAGATTGAGAAAGTGTAGGAGTAGTTGGCAACAAAACTGCTGAATAAAACATGACAGCTTGTAGGTTTGCCCTGAAAGTAACACTGCTTCTATAACAGTGTACACATATAATCTATATTTAAACATGGTTTCCAAACAAGACATTGAGATAAATATGAAAAGCACAACGACAGCAGCTCTCTCTGATTTAAAATATGCATGAAATTAAACAAGCATGTTTAATGCCAGGCAACACGAAACACAACCAACGGTGAAAGGCCAAAACAAACATGTTGAATATTCAATTAAATCATAAATTAGAAATGTGATTCACTGTGAACCTTTCAAATTCAATTACATTGCAAGCAATCAGTGTCCAGTATTTGTTTAACAATACTTACTCATACAGTACAGAACGGGCGATGCAAGCAACTTAGAAAAGTCACTTTATTATGTTTGTGATGCCCCAGGTCAGATTATGAGGAGCTTGTGGACACATTTTCCCCATTTTATCTTCACTCCACTGGCTGCCCGTTCATTCGAGGATTCATTTTAAAACTCTTTTATTTACTTTTAAAGCCCTCAATGGCCTGGCCCCGCCCTACCTCTCTGAGCTGTTACGGACCGTCCACACAGCAGCGTTAAAAAATCTTGGAACGCTTCTGCCCATTCACTTTGAATGGGGTGACGTCACTTTGCCTCACTTTTCGCCGAACTGCATTGTGGGCAGGCGAGCGGAGATTTTCAGGATTTTCAGGATTCAAAGTTGAGCAATGTTCAACTTTTGAAGCTGAGGTGGAAGCGTCAGCCAATCAAATCCCGTGTATGCAAATCTGACAGTTCAAGCGCTAGCCAATCAAACCGCGTGTATGCTGGGAGAGACATACCTCAGGTCATTTCCTCATATTCCAAAACATGGAGGAGAAATTAGCGGTAGGGAATCACCCGGTGCTTTATGACCAGTCCCTATTTACCTACCGGGATACAAACCAGAGGAGCCAGGCATGGAGGGAGGTGGCAGAGACAGTGGTAGGTTTTCGCCTGTTTGGGGAGTTTATATCCAGTTTACTTCAAACTTTTTTGCTTCGTATGTCGGGGGCGGGAGATTCATGTGATTGGTTGTTGGTGCCTTGCTCGCAAAAAATCCCCAAGCTTCAGATACGCCCACCTCCAAGATTTTTTTAACGCTGCTGTGTGGACGGGCCGTTACACAGCTACACGCCAATTCTCACTCTCAGGTCAGCTGATCAGTTGCTCCTGAGGGTGCCAAAAACTAAGTCTAAGCGCAGAGGGGACCGTGCTTTCTCTGCTGCCGCCCCTAAACTGTGGAACGACCTGCCCTTGCTAATCAGACAGGCTCCCACACTGTCTGTTTTTAAATCCCGTCTTAAAACCCACCTTTTCTCCTTAGCATTCGGATCCAAGTAGATTGTTGCTTTTATTTGCTTTCAGTGGTCTATTGTTTTTATTATATGGCTGTTTTTTATTTTGTAATTGTTACTTTTATTCTGGTTTATTTTGTGTTTATATCTTTTATTTTGAATGTATTTATTTGATGTTTTGTGAGCTGAGCTGTGTGATTTTACATTTGATGTATCTCTCTGTACAGCACTTTGGTCTGGAGGTTTTAAAGTGCTATATAAATAAAGTTGGATTGGATTGGATTTTCTATTAATAGGATTAAAACAATTTTAAGAATAACGTTTTTCTGCAAAGACTGCACCACGTCTTTTTGTCCGGTCGGGTCTTGGAATACCAGAAGCTGTGTGGTTCATAAAAACATGTTCTTACTCAATATCTTACCCTAAGCCTAACCCTATCCCTTTTTATTTTAAATTGTATAATGTCTGAGTTTTGTTGCCGTCAGTGAGGAAAAGAAATGGCTCAGAGCCTCAGAATACTGAAATCTGTATTTTATGTCATCTTTTTTTCCTTCTAATTTGTTATTATTTGGTGCAGGCACGAAACATACTACCAATATAAATACATTGCTTCTAAAATCGTTCTATGTCAGAATACTGAAATCTGTATTTTTTTGTATCTGTTTTTTCCTTCTAATTTGTTATTATTTACATTGCTTTTAAAATCGTTCTGTGTGACATGAAAAAAAATGGCGAAATCGTGTTGGTGAACACGAATCAATAGATTAATTTCGTGACTATAACACGAAATGCCGTGAGACTGTGTTGGATAAGCATAATCATTTCTGACATTGGGCCTCAGCTAATCTAAACAAGCACTGCTTTGAACCGGTATTCCTCCATCTTGTGACTGTGTGACTCCCTCTCTCGTATATCAGTGTACCAAATGCTCTGTATGTGATGACTACTTCCATTCTTGAGAGGATAATAAATACATGGATCTTGATATTGAAGCTCAAACTGGGGTTGAGTGAGATTTTTCTAACACTAACAACTGCAGCTAAAACTACCTTAGATTCCCTACAC